AATAAAAAAAGGTTCTCGGCCTGACCCACATCGCAAATTCTAACCTCTTTAAAAAAAAAAAAATGGAGGCTTTGTACCATAGACTAGCAAGCAGACATAGATAAAAAATGTAAAGGTATTATTTGCTGAAGAAAAGTCGGTCTCGTAATCCTATATTCACCTCCCCGCTTGTCTATCTGTCTGTCTTCTCCAATTCAATCCATTTGATTGTCGATTTTCTGCTCCCACCACAGTACAGTTTGTCAGTCTACTGCACCTTCCCATCTCGGTCAGTCCCGGCCCACTAATTTCACTCACACGTGTATATAAAAAGAGCACAGAATGCAAAATCATACTCGTAACATTATATAGTGTCCGTAAAGTTCGTGTGCACTTTAAAAAAATTATAACTTTATTTGTATTTGTGATAGAAATAATCAGTAAAAAATGTTATAAAGTTTAATGCACATAGTTTTAAAATAACTAATGTGATTTCAGGCATTACTGTAAATCCTTTGGCAAATGTTTTCCGTGAACTGCAAAATCGTTATTACCTTTTGTATTGCTAATGATGGAGGACATGTGGAAACTTAAATAAAATTTCAATAAAACCTTAAAAAATATAGATTTACTTCTTTCTAATCCTTTTTACAAATTATTTCTATCGCAAATAAAGTTATGCATTTTTAAAAGTGCACACGAACTTTATTGACATCCTGTATATATATATATATATAAAATTTTATTTAATTTTTTTTTAAATTTATAAATTTAATTTTTATTTAACTATATATATTTTAAATACATTTTTATGTTTATACATTCTTTTTATAGTTACAAATATTTAAGTAAATGCTCTGTTTTATAATAAACAGTATTAAACAACATTTACCGGCCTGAATGTCCGAGAATTTTCATAGAAAATATTCTGCATTGAGCAGATATGAATGCACCTGAGAAAATCATGGAAGATTGTAGTATAAAAGCAATAAAATCGACCGTGCTAACAGAACAATCCTCTGTGGCCCTATCAGTTAAAGCACGTAAGGCTGGTTCCGTTTAGGATACAGGTTCGATTCCTGCCGGTGGACGAATATTGTCTATGAAAATTTCTCGGACATTCAAACCGTTAAAGGTTGTTAATGCTGTTTATTATAAACAGAGCATTTACTTAAATATTTTATCTATAAAAAGAATGTATAAACATAAAAATGTCTTTAAAATAAATAAATAAATAAATAAATATATATATATATATATATATAAATTTAAAATATCAATTATAATGTTATTGAATTTTAATTTAAATATATATATATTTAAACTAAAGTTATATATATTTTCTAATTTGTCTGATGATCGCAAAAGCGTGAAATCCAGGGTCACAAATTCATATTCATACAACTGAAGTGTGTGTATGTATGTATGTATGTATGTATGTATATATATATTCTTAATTCTCGTACTTTTTCATACAGTTTTCTTTGTCCGGAGTTAATAAAAATAAACCGGGAAAGGAAAGCATTCTTTTTTTTCTTTTTTTTTAAAAAAAAAGAAGGAAAAAAGAAAAGAAACATTTCATTTATTTAAGAGATGAATTGTACCTTTCTTTTACTTTCTCTAGAGAATGGCGGTTTGCCGAGTATCAGCAGCAGCAGCAGCAAACTAGAAGGAATTGGACAAATTACATCGCTGAGAGAAAATCCAAGCATATTCTGGCATCGCTTACTTTTGCTTGCCAGTTATTTCTTGCAGTTCTGTCTGCTGCTAGTGCTGCTACACCCGCCACTTCCATTTCTCTTGTATTCCACATCAAGCACACGTTGAACGATAGAAAACATGACACCAGAGTTGCTAGAATCTCACACTTTTAAACTCATGCGTTCGTTGCCGACTGCTTTTCTGCCAATTTTGTCTCGTTCATTCAGAAAATCGCCTTTTTTTTCCTTTTTTTTTTCATGTTTTTCTTAATTAAACTATCTTACCATACGATTTCCTGACGATTGTATATATTTATTTTTATGCTATACTTGAAAACAAAGGGATAGAGTGCATGTCTTACAGACAGATCGTTAGCAAGCTGCTTTATGGTCATGACTCTCCACAACTTCCAATCTCGTTGGCTCTTAGTTTCTCTCCTTTCGCTTCCTCTCCCAGCTTCCCCACTGTTCCACCATCCATTCTCACAAGCCTGTCGGGTATATTTACCCTGCCACTCCACCAAAACTGGATGTGACACAAGGTCGTTTTAACGTGGGGAGGGCAATACGCATACTTATGCATATGGACCAAGGACAAAAATTGGTTTTCTCCCATTTCCCGCGACCATTGTCATGTTAGTATGGGTATTACATCGATCCAACCTCTTTAGTGCAATGAGGAAATTGCTGCCCCAGGGTCGGAATCACCACGACTGAGCAACTTCACCCATCTAAAATGAGGGCAAACATACAGTGCCGGATATACCTATAGGTTTAGCAGGCCTTGGGCCTCAAAATCTAGGGAGACTTCAGCCAAGATGTATAAAATTTTTGACACTGTCATAGGCTTTTCTTACACATGCTGTCATAACGTATCGTAGACGCTAAATAACCCTCCAGTAATTTTAAACACCTGTCATCATCCTCGGCATTACTCAAAAAATTGTTAATAGATTGTGACAGCTATTTGTTAGGGAGATGTGATTAAATATAATTTAATGTTTAAAAAGATATTCATTATTATTATTATTGTTTAGGTAATAAACATTATAACATAACACAAATAGCTATATTGTGGAAAAATAAGTGAAATTACTTGCGTGTGCTGGGTTGCGGTCTGACGTGGGAGGCTGAGTGTTTGTTTTTCAAAGCAAGGCCGCTCCGAGCACTGGTTTTCTATTAATTAATAAATTTAAAACTTATACATTAATTACTAATTTTTTTTAAATTAATAACTATTTGTGCTCAGTTGTTGACATTAATAGCTATCTGCTGATGTGTTAAAATTTTGGAATAATGCAATAATTAAAATTTAAGTTTTTTATCTCTCTGATGGATGTCGCGATCTGTCAATAGACTATTCTTTTTCTCATTGTTTTTTTCTAAATTCGGAACGCAGAGAATCAGCAATTTTTTGGCATAGAATAAATACATTTCCTGACTTCATTCTTTCTTCCATGATGATGATGATGATGATGATGATTATGTTGTTGTTATCATTATTATTATTATTATTATTATTATTATTTTACAGATCGCGATAGCTATTAAGGAGATGTGATTAAATATATTTTAATTTTAATGTTTAAAAACGATTTATTTAGTATTATTAATGTTTAGGTAATAAGCATTATAACATAACACAAAGCAATATTGTGGGAAAAGGAATTTTCGACAATATACGCATTTTTTACGTATTTATGGTTATTTTTTTAACTTTTAGCAAAAACGACATTCTTATACATCTTAGCTTTTGTACGTCAATATCAGCAAACAGCAAACTAAATCGAAAATGTTGTTTGCTGAAAATTATTTATGACTCTAAAAGAATGTGATGTCATTAGTTTGTCCTAGACCTTCACCATATCTTTTAACTTTTAGCAAAAACAACATTCTAATACATCTTAGCTTTTGTACGGCAATATCAGCAAACAGCAAATTAAATCGAAAATGTTGTTTGCTGAAAATTATTTATGACTCTAAAAGAATGTGATGTCATTAGTTTGTCCTAGACCTTCACCATATCTTTTAACTTTTAGCAAAAACGACATTCTTATACATGTGGTTATGGATAATAAATGTGACAGTAAAGATGAGGACAACAGTCTGAACAATGTGAATAGTGTTATTAGTTACAATACCACATCTCACAAATATAGATAGATCCTGAAGAAGGCTAGATCGTACAATGGCCGAAACATCGTGAATGAATCAGTAAAGATGAGGACAACAGTCCAAACAATATAAATAGTTACAGTACCTCATCTCATAAATATGGACAGATCTTAGATTTTTCAGCAAACAGCAAACTAAATCGAAAATGTTGTTTGCTGAAAATTATTTATGACTCTAAAAGAATGTGATGTTATTAGTTTGCCCTGGACCTTCACCATATATACCATATGTATATTGGTATGTATATTGGTATAAATAGCACTAGAAAAAAATTGGTACTTGGTTGGTTTCTTCTACCCTATTGCAAGAATGGAAAATATTATCATTTCATCCCTCCTGATATATTTGAGTCACAAATAATATTTGGCGGAGTCATGTGAGTCTGGGTAATAAAAAATGGACACAAAACGTAGAATTCAAACAAACAACAATTAATAAATGTATTAAAAAGACATGTTACAGAAAGATAAAGAAACAAAGTTGAAGTTGTGAACAGTTCAATACAATCTTCAGTCTGAAGTGCTTACCTATATTGTTGCTATGCAGACGAAAGGAAATGTGTGTGGCCAGTTCAAAAGTCAAATGGGACTCGGAAAACCCACGTTAAACCCGGCCTTGTGCCACATCTACCCTCGTGGGGGTGCTGGTAAATACCGACTAGCTGGGATCTGTTCCAGCTAGACGGTCGATCTCTCTGCCTTCGGGCAGAGAGGAACCCGAACGAGTCTCTGTTGAAGGGCAGAGTCTCGTTCGGAGAGGTAGACTGACCCTGAAGCCGTTTATACGGGTTCGAAAGGGAATATTTTTGGCCGACCCCACGGGCTCGGAAGACCCACGTAAAACTCGGTCTTGTGCCGCATCTACCCTTGTGGTGGGGCTAGTAGATATTGACTAGCTGAGATCTATTGAGTACGACTCAGACTTACGCGAGCACTACCGACATTCCAATAGTATGACTCAGTAATTGATTGACTTACGACGAATTTGTGTATAACTGTTACCTTTATTCTTATTGTACTGGTTTTTCACAATAAACCTTTACTTATTTTATCCACCTTGTTTTTCAAGTATATATTCCTATTAGCACGGAATATAACATAACTTAATATTTGTTTATTGATTATTATTTTTATTTTTTCATTGCAGAACTGAAAGCACCGCCAAAAATGCAGACAGGAGAATCTGTTGTTAATGTTGATGACAAAAAGGATAATGCTTTCTATTGCGAAAAATGTAGCTTCCAAACTCACTACTACAGCCGGCTGGTCAGTCATTCTGTCGTCCACTCCTTAGACCGTCCTTATGCGTGTGAGTATTGCCACTATGCAGCCAAGCGAAAGAGTGATCTTAGAAAACATCTCATTCACAAACACAAGCTTACGGAATCGAAAAACATTACCAAAGGTTCAGCTACTTCCAGCCAATCAAATGGCATATCCAACTCGTCGCAACAGACGTCAAAACCAGTCCCTGTCACATACACCTTGTCACCAGAACAAGAAGTAGCTCAGAGCCCTGAAAGCATCCACGATGACACTGAAGAAATTTCTATACACAGTGGTTCCAACACACCCACCATCAAAGTAGAGTTGAACGACGATTCCGAAGTGACTAGTATACGCCAGTTCGAATATACCATTCCGTTACCAACGGCCAGTTCATTTACGGACACTAGTCCAGTAACCGTTAGCTTACCTCATATTCTTTTCCCCCATCAGCGGATGACGACATCTTTTACACCAACCATCTCTCCTATATCGTCTCATGCTACATCTAATCCGCATAGAGTTTCCTATAGTCCTGCTTCAA